TAGAAATACAAGCTACCATCAAAGATTACTAAAAACAACTCTATGCACATAAACCAGTAAACCTGGAAGAAATGGATAACTTCCTGGACACTTGCATCTTCCCAAGCCTAAACCAGGAAGAAGTTGAAACCCTGAATAGACCAATAACAAGGGCTGAAGTTGGGGCAGTAATTAATAGCCTACCAACCAAAAAAAGCCCAGGTCCAGATGGGTTCACAGCCAAATTCTACCAGACATACAAAGAGGAGCTGGTACCATTCCTTCTGAAACTATTCCAAACAATACAAAAAGAGGGAATTCTTCCCAAATCATTTTATGAGACCAACATCATCCTGATACCAAAACCTGGCAGAGACTCAACAAAAAAAGAAAACTTCAGGCCAATATCAATGACAAACATAGGTGCAAAAATCTTCAATAAAATACTAGCAAACCGATTGCAATAGCACATCAAAAAGCTTATCCATCACGATCAAGTAGGCTTCATCCTGAGGATGCAAGGCTGGTTCAACATACACAAGTTTATAAACATAATCTACCACATAAACAAAACAAAGACAAAAACCACATGATCATCTCAATAGATGCAGAGAAGGCCTTTGACAAAATTCAGCAGCCCTTTAATGCTAAAAACTCTCAATAAACTAGGTATAGATGGAACATATCTCAAAATAATAAAAGCTATTTATGACAAACCAACAGCTGATATCATACTGAATGGGCAAAAACTGGAAGTGTTCCCTTTGAAATCTGGCACTAGACAAGGGTCCCCTCTCTCACCACTCCTATAAGTTCTAGCCAGAGCAATCAGGCAAGAAAAAGAAATAAAGTGTATTCAATAAGGAAAGGATGAAGTCAAAATGTCTCTATTTGCGGACAACATGATTGTATATTTAGAAGACCCCATTGTCTCAACCCACAATCTCCTGAAACTGACCACCAAGTTCAGCAAAGTCTCAGGATACAAAATCAATGTGCAGAAATCATAAGCATTCCTATTCACCAATAACAAACTAAAAGAGAAGGAAATGAAGAGCAAACTCCCATTCACAATTGCTACAAAGAAAATAAAATGCCTAGGAATACAATTAACAAAGGATGTAAAGGACCTCTTCAAGGAGAACTACAAGCCACTGCTCAAGGAAATAAGAGAGGACACAAACAGATGGAAAATTAGGAAGAATCAATATTGCAAAAATGGCCATATTGCACAAAGTAATTTACAGATTTAATAGTATCTTCATCAAGCTACCTATGACCCTCTTCACAGAACTGGAAAAAAACACCTTAAATTTCATATGGAACCAAAAGAGAGCCAGCATAGCCAAGACAATCCTCAGCAAAAAGAACAAAGTTGGAGGCATCACGCTACCTGACTTCAAACTATACTACAAGGCTACAGTAATGACAAACCTTACAAAAACAAGCAATGGGGAAAGGATTCTCTGTTTAATAAATGGTGATGGGATAACTGGCTAGCCATGTGCAGAAAACAGAAACCAGACCCCTTCCTGACACCTTACACTAAAATTAACTCCAGATGGATTAAAGACTTAAACATAAGACCTAACACCATAAAAAACCCTAGAAGAAAACCTAGCCAAAACCATTCAGGACATAGGTATAGGCAAGGACTTCATGACCAAAACACCAAAAGCATTGGCAACAAAAGCCAAAATAGACAAATGGGAACTAATTAAACTCCAGAGCTTCTGTACAGCAAAAGAAACAATCATTAGAGTGAACTGGCAACCAACAGAATGGGAAAAAATTATTGCAATCCACCCATCTGACAAAGGGCTAATATCCAGAATATACAAAGAACTAACACAGATTTACAAGAAAAAAACAAACAAACGCATTCAAAATTGAACAAAGAATATGAACAGCCACTTTTCAAAAGAAAACATATATGAAACCAACAAACATATGAAAAAATTCTCATCATCACTAGTCATTAGAAAAATGCAAATCAAACCACACTGAGATACCATCTCACGCCAGTTAGAAGGGCAATCATTAAAAAATCTGGAGACAACAGATGCTGGAGAGGATGTGGAGAAATAGGAATAGAATAGAAACAGTGTTTTTACACTATTGATAGGAGTGTAAATTAGTTCAATCATTGTGGAAGACAGTGTGGTGATTCCTCATGGACCTAGAAATAGAAATTCCATTTGAGCCAGCAATCCCATTACTGGGTATATATCCAAAGGATTATAAATCATTCTATTATAAACACACATGCACACGTATGTTCATTGTGGCCCTGTTTACAATAGCAAAGACTTGGAACTACCCAAATGCCTATTGATAATAGACTGGACAAGGAAAATGTGGCACATATGCACCATGGAATACTATGCAGCCATAAAAAACGATGAGTTTGTGTCCTTTGTAGGGACATGGATGAATCTGGAAACCATCATTCTCAGCAAACTGACACAAGAACAGAAAATCAAACACTGCATGTTCTCACTCATAGGCAGGTGTTGAACAATAAGAACACATGGACACAGGGAGGGAAGCATCACAAACTCGGGTCTGTTGGGAAGGACTAGGAGAGGGACAGTGGGGGATAGGGAGGTTGGGGAGGGATAACATGGGGAGAAATGCCAGATATAGGTGACATGCGGATGGAGGCACTAAACCACATTGCCATGTATGTACTTATGCAACATTTCTGCATGATCTGCACACGTACCCCAGAATCTAAAGTACAATAAAAAATATATTTAAAAAAAGGAACGAAGCCAGACATCCCATACTTCCTGATTTCAAATATATTACAAAGCTATAGAAGTTAAAATTTATGGCACTTGCATAAAAACAGACATATAAACCAGTGGAGTAGGTAGCCAAGAAATAATCTCATATGTGTATGATCAACCAATATTTGACAAGAATGACAAGAATAGACTGTAGGATAAAGGATAGAGTCTTCAAAAAATGGTGTTGAGGAAATTATCCAGTTTTCTCAACAAAAGACTGAAGATTTTTCACATGCAAAAGACTTTTCAAATGCAAAAGACTAAAACTGGGTCCTTACCTTATATCACACTCAAAGATCAACTCAAAGTAGATTAGAAACGTAAATATAAGACATGGAAACTTAAAACATTTTTAGAAAAAGAGGAAAAAATGTCCTCAAGATTGGGTATGGCAACAATTTTTTGGATATGACACCAAAAACACCAGCAGCAGAAGAAAAGTAAGTGGTACTCTAGCAAACTAAAAAGTTTCTGCACAGCAAAGAAAACAATCAACAGAGTAAAAATGCAACCTACAGAGTGGTCAAAAATATTTGCAAACCATATACCTTAGGGTTAATGTCTAAAATGTATAGGGAACTCATATAGCTAAATTGCAAAAACAAAAATCTTGACTTAAAAAATGGGTAGCTGGTCAGGGTGACTCATGCCTATAATTCTAGCACTTTAGGAAGCCAAGGCAGAAGGATTGTCTGAGTTCAGGAATTTGAGACCAGCCTGGGCAACATGATGAAGCCCTGTCTCTTCTAAAAATAAAAATAAAAAATTAGCCAGGTGTGGCAGGGTGCACCTGTTAGTCCCAGCTACTAGGGAGGCTGAGGCAGGAGAACTGCTTGAACCCAGGAGGTGGAGGTTGCAGTGAGCCAAAATCACACCACTGCCCTCCAACCTGGGCAGCAGAGTGAGACTCATCTCAAAAAAAAAAAATGTGCAAAGGACCTAAATAGATATATACTCCAAAAAAGACACATATACAGCTAACAGGCACATTAAAGGGTGCTCGAAATTGCTTATCAGGGACATACAAATAAAAACCACAATGAGACATCACTTTGTATCTGTTAGGATAGCTTTTACAAAAAGATTAGTGTTGGCAAAGATGTGAATTAAAGGAAATCTTTGTGTGCTATTGATGGGAATGTAATTGATATAGCCATATGGAAAACAGTATGTTCGTTCTTCAAAAAACTAAAAATAGAACTACCATAAGATCTAGCAATTCTATTTCTGGGTATACAGCCAATGAAAACTAAATCAGTAGCTCAGAGACATATCTGCACTTCCATGTTCATTGCAACATTATTCACAACAGCCAAGACACCAAAACAACCTGAGTGCCTGTCAACAGATGAATGGAAAAAGAAATTGTGGTATGGGTAGGCAATGAAATATTATCCGCTATACAAAAGAAAGAAACCCTGCTATTTGCAACAACATGGATAAACCTGAATGGCATTATGCTAAACAAAAGTCAGACAGAGAAAGACAAATACTGTATAATCTTAATCTCATGTATATGTGGAATCTGAAAAAGTCAAACTTATAGAAACAAAATATAATGGTGGTTAACAGGGACTAGGAAGTCGGAAAACGGAGGGACATTGGTCAAAGGGTACACAGGCTATAACTAACAATATTATATTGTATCTTTGAAATTTGCTAATGGAGTAGATATTAAATGTTCTTACCACAAAAAAATGATAATTAGGTAGAATAATAGACATGTTAACTGACTTTATTGTGGTCTTTTCAGAATATATACATACGTCAAATCATCACATTGTACACCTTTAATTCATACAATTTTATTTGTCAAGTATACCTCAATAGAGCTGAAAACAATAAAAATAAATCCAAAGACAGTAATATACATGTTATTTAAACAGTTTTAGAGTCTTCATCTCAAATGAATACTTTGTTAATTTATTTTTTATTGCTTATTTTCTCTCTTAAATATGACAGGTATTTATATTTGTCTTGTTTTCATTCTATCCCCAGAATATAACAACACAGTAGTGGGTAGTTACTGGTCTGGTAAGTATTTGTTAGGTAACTAATAACTATTACTTGAGTAATAGAAGGTATGAATACTCAAGAAGAGTAGCAGAATCTGGGATGTTGTCATTTTGATTTTGATCCCTGCAACAAATGCTAGATGCATTTTTATGTACAAGGAAAGCACCCTCTGGGATACTATTGATCCATCCCCTTCCTCTCCCATGGCCTCACCTTTTTTGGAAGACTTCCAGGTTTGGAGCTGAGATGGTCACAATCTGATACCCAAGGGAGCCTCCCTGGTCTGCAGAGGCCTCCCCTGACACACTCAATTCTCCACCAACATTCACACCTATGCCAGCCTCATACTTTTGGATCATAGTGTCATAGAAATATAATGGTCCATTCACATCATTATCTGGGGAAAGAAAAAATGGCCATAGGTTTAGCCAAGAATCGATTCAGGAATTCATAGGTTTAGCCAAGAACAGCTGGTATGTAAAATGAAATAACAAAGACCTATTTTGCCCCAACCCTCCCACTCATATAAAACTCTGTTGAAAACTAATCAATTAATGTGAATGTAAATTACTACAGAGGGAAAATGTTTAAATCTACTGGGCACCGTGTGACAGAGATAAAATATTCACCCTGAGAAATAGTGGTGTCAAACGTACAATGTGGAATACCCATAGGATTATCCTTCCAGGCACGCTGTCTCCCCTGCAGCAGGCACAGCACCCAGCCTCAGAGGGCAGCACACGGGGGCAGAAAATGTTTAAGGTGTGGAGCCAGACAGACTTGGGTTTCGATCTCATTTCTACCAGTTCCCAGGTACCTAACTTTGTTTTTTGTTTAATTGTTGTTGTTGTTTTGAGCCAGGGTCTCACTCTGTCACCCAGGCTAGAGTACAGTGGTGCAACTCAGCTCACTGCAACCTCCACCTTCTGGGCTCAAGCAACTCTTATGCCTCAGCCTCCCAAGTAGCTGGGACTACAAGAGTCCACCACCCATGCCTGGCTAATTTTTTTTGTATTTTTAATAGAGTCAGGGTTTTGCCATGTTGGCTGGGCTGGTCTTAAACTCCTGGCCTCAAGTGATCTGCCCACCTCAGCACCCAAAGTGCTGGGATTAAAGGCATGAGCCACAGTGTCCAGCCCTCAGGTACATAACTTTGAACAGATAATTGTATAGCATTATACTTACTCTTATGTAAAGTGGGGATAACATCTTCACCTCATGAGCCTGATGCAAATACTAAATGACCTAATGAACACCTACAACCAGATAATTAGTAGGATTCTCAATTTGTCTCAGTTTGTCTTTGCTCCTTGCCCCTTGCCTACAGGCAAGGCTGGTCCTGAGAGCTCCTTTCTGGGTGCTCAGTTATTTTTGGATGCTGGGCCATCTGTCTATCAGACCAGCAATGTTTTTTACCCCTTGTCTCCTTGGCCTCTGGCTGATGATACCTGGGACTGAAGAACTTGACTCCAGGATGTCACTGAGGGAGAACTGAAGTGGAACATAGTCACACTGTTCCCAAAAAACTGAACGAGAAGTATTCATCTTTTGTAATAAGGCAAACTGACGTAATTTGATGGCACGGGCTAGGCATTTGACAGGCGTCAGGTCATCTCTTCCAACCTCTTTGACCAAACTTTTGCTAATGCGTTGGAACATAGAGGACATGTTGCTAGGGGAGATGAAAGGAAAGCACAAAGTTCAGCTGGGAGGAGAAGAAAATGGTTAAACTCTCACCAGTTATTGATATTTCCCCTAAAGGAAAAGATCTACATATGAGATTAGCAGGTCTTAATCTAAAATATTGACTACATTATAACTTTCCCAACTTCCAGTTCATTTTTTTGTTGTTTTTGAGATGGGGTCTTGCCATGTTGCCCAGACTGATCTTGAACTCTTGGGCTCGAGTGATTCTCCCACCTCATCCTACCTAGCATCTGGGATTATAGGCACACACCACCACAATTGGCTTCCAACTTTGGGATTCTAAAGATAATTTGGGCTTCTGACAGAGGCATTGCAATGAAATTCATTGCCCCTTATGGTTGGAGTAGGAAAGCCTGGGTATCTCCTCACCTCTAACCCGGGAATACTCTAAATAACGGGAATAAGGAAGGGCTGAATACTATCATCAACTAAACGGCCAGAGGGAAGACCGGGCTTAAGTTAAGATGATATGAGTAGTGGTAGACATTATGTTGGTGTTTGCAATTTTACAGAGAAAGCCACACTGAGAAGTGACATTTGAACAATAATGTAGAGGAGGCAGGGTATAAACAGTGAACATTATGTGGAGAAAAGAATGCCAGGTAGAGAAATCAGCAAGTGCAAAGACTTGGCAGTAATGTATGCCTGGAATAAGTGAGGTGGAAAGGAAAGAAGATGAGGTCAGAAGAAACTGAGGGCAAGTTGGTGAAGGCCCCTGTTGGTCATTTTCATCACTCTCTTTTACTTGAAGTGAGATTAAAAGTCTTTGGAGGGATTTGAGCACACAAGTGACATATCTACTGCATCTTTTGAAGAGAGATGCCTATGGTGGCTGTGTTGACAATAGCGTGCAGTAAGGGAGTACAGCCAGAAGTGGGAGTCTAGTTAGGGCAGTTTTGTGATACTACAGGTAATCGTTAGTGAGAGATGAGGCCAGGGCATTGCACTCAAAGTGATGAGAAGTGATCAGGTCCTAGTCTACACTGAAGGTAGAGACAACATCCATGAAAAGGATGGTTTGCTACAATTCCAGGGAAATTGGTTCTTCACTAATCAATTTGTTGATTTGCTTGTTTATTCATTCATTCTGCAAACATTTAATAAGCACCCATTAGATGCTAGGCCCTCTCTCGGGAATTGGCAATATAGTGGTGAGCAATATAAGAATGGCCTCTAATCTCTTGGGGCTTACAGCATAGTGATAAAGACAAATCTTCACCAAATGATTTTACTAGTGAGCTCATGCATATTCATAAATCATGAGTGGTATCACAAATGAATGGTGCCTGATGCTCTCAAAACCTGTGATAGAGAGATTTTGGTTTTCAGTTACAACAACTAAAAGGTCAGGGAAATTCTTCTTTATTTTTCTGAGAGATTTTTATTTTATTTTATTTTAGGGGTCATTTTAGTTTCAGGTGCACATGTGCAGGCTTGTTATATAGGTAAACTCCTGTCACTGAGGTGTCTTGTATAGATTATTTCTTCATCCAGGTATTAAGCCTAGTAGCCATTCATTATTTTTCCTGATTTTCTCCCTCCTCCCACAATCCATCCTCTACCTTCCAGTAAAGGATATGTGTTGGTCCCCTCCATGAACCTATGTGTTCTCATCATTTAGTTCTCATCTCATCTCTCATCTCCCACTTATAAGTTAAAATATGAGATACTTGGTTTTCTGTTTCTGTGTTAGTTTGCTAAGGATAAGGGCCGCCAGCTCCATTGGGAGATGTTCTTGTTCTTTTCTTGGCTACGTAGTTTTCCAAGAGGTATATGTACCATATTTTCTTTATCCAGTCCACAATTGATGGGTATTTAAGTTGATTCCATGTCTTTGCTATTGTTAATAGTGCTGCAATGAATATACACACACATGTCTTTATTATAGACTGACTTCAATTCCTTTGGGTATATACCCAGTAATGAGCTTGCTGGGTCAGATGGTATTTCTGTCTTTAGGACTTGGAGGAATCACTAAACTGTCTTTCACAATGGTTGAACCAATTTACTTTCTCATCAACAGTGTATAAGCATTCCTTTTTCTCCTCAACCTTGCCAGGATCTGTTATTTTTTTATTTTATCTTTTTTACTTTTTAGTAATAGCCATTCTGACTGGTGTGAGATAGTATCTCACTTTGGTGTTGGTTTGCATTTCTCTAATGATCGGTGATGGTGAGCTTTTTTCACATGATTGTTGGCCATATGTATGTCTTCTTTTGAAAAGTGTTTGTTCTTGTCATTTGCCCACTTTTTAATGGGGTTTTTTCTTCTTGTAAATTGGCTCAGGTTCCCTATAGATGCTGGATATTAGACCTTTGTCAAATTTATAGTTTGCAAAAATTTTCTCCCATTCTGTAGGTTGCCTGTTCGCTCTGTTCATAGCTTTTTTGCTGTGCAGAAGCTCTTAAGTTTAATCACATTTGTCAATTTTTGCTTTTATTGTGATTGCTTTTGGCATCATCATGAAATGTTGCCCAGTTCCTTTGTCCAGAATGGTATTGCCTAGGTAGTCTTCTAGGGTTTTTTATAGTTTTGGGTTTTACGTTTAAGTCTTTTATCCATCTTGGGTTGATTTTTGTATATGATGTAAGGAAATGGTTCAGTTTCAGTCTTCTGCATATGGCTAGTCAGGTATCCCAGCACAATTTATTGAATGAAGAAGATATAACATGCAGCCAACAATGCATCCTTTCCCTATTGCTTGTCTTTTACAGCTACCTGATCTGTGAAAACTCTGACAAAAACAAGCAATGGGGAAAGGCTGCATTGTTGGCTGCACAGGCAACCAAAGCAAAAATCGACAAATTGGATCTCATCAAGTTACAAAGATTCCTTCCATCAAAGGAAACAATCAACAAGAGAAAAAGACAACCCACAGAATAGGAGAAAATATTTGCAAACTACCCAACTGATAAGGGATTAATAACAAGAATATATAAGGAGTCGAAACAACTCTATAGGAAAAAATCTAATAATCAGATTTAAATACTGGCAAAACACTTGAATAGACATTTCTCAAAGGAATACATACAAGTGAAAAACAGGCATATGAAAAGGTACTCAACATTATTAATTATCAGAAAAATATCAATCAAAACTACAATGAGATATCTCACCCCTGTTAAAATGACTTATATCCAAAAGACAAGTACTAAATATGCTGAAGAGAAGGTTGAGAAAAGGGAACCGCGTACCCTGTTTGTGGGAATGTAAATTAGTACAGCCTCTATGGATAACAGTTTGGACCTTCCTCAAAAAGCTAAAAATAGAGCTGCCATACAACCCAGCAATCTCTCTGCTGTATATACACTCAAAAGAAAGAAAAACAGTACATTGAAGAGATATCTGCACTCCCATGTTTGTTACAGCACTGTTCACAATAGCCAAGATCGGGAAGCAATGCAAGTATCCACCAACAAATGAATGGGTGAACAAAATGTGACACATATACATAACAGAGTACTACTCAGCCATAAAAAAGAATGAGATCCTGTCATTTGCAACAACCTAGATGGAACTGGAGGTCATTCAGTGAAATAAGCCAAGCACAGAAAGACAAACTTTTCATGTTCTCACTTATTTGTGAGAGCTAAAAATTAAGCCAATTGAAGTTACAGAGAGAGTAAAATGATAGTTACCAGAGTCTGGGAATGGTATTAGGATGTGGGAGGGAGGTGGGGATGGTTAATGAGTACAAAAAAAAAAAAAAATAGAATGACTGAATAAGATCTAGTATTTGATAGCACAACAGGGTGACTATAGCCAAAAGTAACTGTACATTTAAAAATAACTAAAAGTATAATTGCATTGTTACAATTAAAACAAAAGGAACAGGGTTTTCTAACTATATGGAATTCAGTTTAGAATATTCTAAAATGTTTAATAATGAAGACAGACGGGATTTTTAACAGTTCATGGAAAAGTCCCGACGTGACCATTTCAATTATCTCTGATATGAGCTGTGTAAAAGGCCACAGGACAACAGAGAATAATGACAACAAAAGAAGCTTCTCTAAGACTGGACCTGTGCACTAATGTATCAGAGATATATTCCTTAGCCTTACATGCTATCTGGAATTCTCAATGATTAAGAAAAACTTAACTTTCTTTTCAGTCAAATTATGCAGGAAAAAAAAAAATCTTCGACTCATTTCACAAACTCATCCTGAACATTTTTGTCACTGATGATACTATCTTTTCTTTTTCATCCCCTGATCCCATTAGGACTTACCAGGTTGTATATCCTTTTGTCCAATAGAGAAATTGGCTGGGCACGGTGCTTCACACCTGTAATCCCAGCACTTTCAGGGTGTCCAAAGCGGGTGGATCACGAGGTCAGGAGTTCAACGCCAGCCTGGCCAAGATGGTGAAACTGATAAAAATCAGTTGGGTGTGGTGGCAGGCACCTCTAATCCCAGCTACTTGGGAAGCTGAGGCAGAGAACTGCTTGAACCTGGGAGGCAGAGGTTGCAGTGAGCCAAGATAGCACCACTGCACTCCAGCCTGGATGACAGAGTGAGACTCTGCCTGAAAAAAGAGAGAGAGAGAAATAGTACAATTGAGTAGGGCCCCTTGCCATCTTCAGACCTCCTGCTGCCAAGCAGAAATTGTCAGACAAACTCCAGGACCAGATCAATGTGATTCTACTCACTGTTTTCTTCGCACCAATGGGTTCCTGACTCAGTTTCCAATGCAGTATCCTGGAAAAATAAGCACAGGGAAGGCCCTCTTTAGTTCCAGAAGAATAAGTCTGGAACTAGTTCTGGATCACAGATCCTTACCTCTCAAGTCCTTCTCAGCCCAAAAATCTGTGGGACAAAATCAAGTAGCATCTAATAATGTATCTCCTGAATCAGAATTAAAAAGGCTTTTTCAGAAGGCACGCCCATTCCTTTCACATACAGAACTAGCTGAGCAAGTCTTTGACTCATGGATTCCCAGCATGAGCAGCTAAAACAACTTCTTTGGCTCATATTCCTCTGGCATATGTGCTGAATTTGGAATTCAGCCACTGGACATCAAGAAAAACAGCTTCAGCAGGAGGGACAGGCACCAGCGCCAGGGTCCTGGGAAGCACTTCTGAACTGCCTACATGTGGAGCTCTGTACAACAGGAATTTTTATGCTTAATGCCTCCTCTGTATTAAATATCATGCATGTATTATCTAAATCCAATCTTGCAACAATCTTTATTTTAAAGATAAATAAAAAGAGGATTTGCAAAAAGAATTAAACACTTGCCTAAACCCATGCCTTTTCCAAATACATGCTATCTGGAATTCTCAATGATTAAGAAAAACTTAACTTTCTTTTCAGTCAAATTATGTAGGAAAAAAAAAATCTTCGACTCATTTCACAAACTCATCCTGAACATTTTTGTTCTATTCAAATCCATTCAAATCAATGGATTTCAAGATACTGTAAAGTGCCTGCAGGAGAAACTGTAAACAGGATTGCTACTCCTTTAAGTTTTGAGTAATGTCCTGGAACTGACACTCAGTATAGCAACATTCCTTTAAGCTGACAGAATTTCACAATGCATTTAGTTTACTTTTGTTTTCTTTTAATATTCATTAAAGTCCCAAGCCTTCCCTTTCCACTATAAGGAGCTGACATGCACTTCACTTGAAACAAAGCTCAGATTGTACTTTCTGCATATCACCACCAGACACAATGTACCAGAATTAACTTTCACATTCTATAATTTTCACTGTAAAAACTATAGACTTGAAATATAAAATTAGAATTACATATATAACCCTCCTGTGTACCAACATTCTACAGGCCCCAACCTCCTACTGGGTGTTCCGGAAGTCAGAGAAAATTAACTTAGCTGATTGGGAAGAGTTATGCGAGTCACATCAACCTAAATAGATGAGAGAGGCACTAAATAATAAAAAGAAAGTGATATTTATTCAAGAATTAGCATTGCAATAGGAATATGCCTGCCATCACAAACTATGTGTTTATTCAGAGACATAAGGGGAGAAAAAGGTTTTTAAAAGAAAAATAAGAAGGATTACACAATTGTTTTGAATCCATTATCTTTGGTTATAAGGATCAGTAACAAAGCTGGTACCAGTCCAGGGTTAGACAGGGAGTTGGTGGGCAGATGTCCTGGCAGAAGTATTTTTTGTTTAAGGTTGCAATAGCCTTGGTGCAAGGTTGTGGTTTTTGGTTTTGTTTTGTCTTTACTTTGTATGGGTACGTAGTAGAAATATATATTTATTTATGGGGTATATGGGATATGCCATTTGTATGTCTTTTTTTTTTTGAGAAATGTCTATTTAGAACTTTTATACATATTTTAATTGGTTAGATTTTTTTCCTATAGAGTTGTTTGAGCTCCTTGTGTGTTCTGCTTACAAATCCTTTGTCAGATGGATAGTTTGCAAATATTTTCTCCCATTCTGTGGATTGTCTTTTCTGTTGTGGATTGTTCCTTTGCCAGAAGGAAGCTTTTTACTTTGACGTGGTTACATTTGTCCATTTTTGCTTTGGTTGCCTGTGCTTGTGGGATATTACTCAATAAATTTTTGCCCATGCCAATGTCCTGGAGAGTTTCCTCAATGTTTTCCTGTAGCCATTTAATAGTTTGAGGCCTTAGATTCAAGTCTTTAAACTATTTTGATTTTATTTTTAAGGGTCAACTTTCAGTCTTCTACATATGGATATCTAGTTTTCGCACACCATTTATTGAACAGACTGTCTTTTCCCCAATGTATGTTCTTGGCACCTTTGTAAAAAATGAGTTCACTGTAGGTGTATGAATTCATTTCTGTGTTCTCTATTATTTTTCCATTGGTCAATGTGTCTGTTTTTATACAAGTACCACGATCCTTTGGTTACTATAGTTGTGCAATATAATTTGAAGTCAAGTCATGTGATTCCTTGAGTTGTGTTCTTTTTGCTCAGGATAGCTTTGGCTATTCTGGGTCTTTTGTGTTTCCACATAAATTTTAGGATTGTTTTTGTTCTTTCTGTGAAGAATGTCATTGGTAGTCTGATAGAGATTGCATGGAATCTGAAGATTGCTTTCGGTAGTATAGACATTTTAACAATATTGATTCTTCCAATCTCTGAACATAGAGTATCTTTCCATTTTTTTGTGTCCTCTTCTGTTTCTTTCATCAGTGTTTTACAGTTTTCATTGAAGAGATCTTTCACTTCTTCAGTTAAATTAATTCCTAGTTATCTAATTTTATTTGTAGCTCTTGTAAATGGGATTACTTTCTTAATTTCTTTTTCAGATTTTTCGCTGTTGACAGAGGTGCTACTGATTTTTGTATGTTGATTTTGTATCCTGCAACTTTAATTCATCACTTCTAACAGCTTTTTTGGTTGGAATCTTCAGGTTGTTTCAAATATAAGACCACGTTATCCACAAACAAGAACCATTTGACTTCTTTTCCAATTTGGATGCCTTTTTTTTTTTTTTTCTCCCCACTGTGGGATTGCTCTAGCTAGGACTTCCAGTGGTATGTTGAATAATAGTGGTAAAAGTGGATATACTTCTTGTGTTCCCAACCTTAGAGAAAATGCTTTTAGTTTTTCTCCATTCAGTATAATCCTAGTTATGGGTCTGCTGTATATGGTTTTTATTATGTTGAAGTATATTTCTTCTACATCCAGTTGTTTTAGAATTTTTTCATGAAGAGATATTAATTTATTCAAATGGTTTTTCAACATCAATTGAAATGATCATGTGGTTTTTGTCCTTTATTCTACTGATATGATGTATCACATTGATTGATTTGTGTGTGTTGAACCATCCTTACTTACATCCCTAGAATAAATCCCACTTGGTCTTGATGAATGATCTTTTTAATGTTGAATTCAGTTTGCTCATGTTTTGTTGATGTTTCCATTAATTTTCTTCACAGATGTTGGCCTGTAGTTTGTTTTTTTTGTTGTTGTTTTTTCTTTTTTTTTGATGGGTCCTTGTCTGATTTTGGTATCAGGGTATTACTGGCCTCATAGAATAGGTTTAGACATATTCCTGCCTCCTCTATTTTTTTAAATAGTTTGAAATAATTGACATTAATTTAAAAAAATCAGCAGGGAAGCTATTGGGTCCTGGGCTTTCTTTTGCTGAGAGACTTTTTATTATAGCTTTGATCACATTATTTATTATTGGTGTACTCATGTTTTGGATTTCTTTCTGGCAATCTTTGTAGGTTGTATGTGTCAAGAAATGTATCAGTTTCTTCTAGGTTTTCCAATTTATTGGCATATAGTTGCTCTCAGAATCTTCTAATGGTCCTTTGAATTTCCATAGTATCAGTTGTAATGTCTCCTTTTTAATCTCTCATTTTGTTTATTTAGGTCTTCTTTGTTTTAGTTAGTCTGGCTAAAAATGGGTCAATTTTGGCTGGGTGTGGTGGCTCACACCTGTAAACCCAGTACTTTAGGAGGCCAAGGTGGGCAGATCACTTGAGATCAGGAGTTCAAGAGCAGCCAGGCAACATGGTGAAACTCCGTCTCTACTAAAAATACAAAAATTAGCCAGGTGTGGTGGCATGAACCTGTAATCTCAGCTACTCAGGAGGCTGAGGCAGGAGAATCTCTTGAACCTAGGCCATAGAGGTTGCAGTGAGCCAAGATCACACCACTGCACTCCAGCCTGGGCAAAGAGCAAGACTCCATCTCAACAAATATTATAATAGAAAGTGGGTCAATTTTACCTTCTTAAAAAAGCCAACTTTTCATTTTTAAAAATCTTTTGTGTTCTTTTCATCATTTCAATGTAACTTATTTCCACTCTGATCTTTATTACTTCATTTCTTCTACTTACTTTGAGTTCTAAGTTTTTCTTCTTTTTTGATGTAGCCTTTTTTGATTACTCCTTTCACTATATCCTATAGGTTTGGATATATTGTATATCCATTATCATTTGTTTCAAGAAATGTTTCAATTTTCTTCTTAACCTCTTTATTGACTCACTAGTCATTTGGGAGCATATTGCTTAATTTCCATATGTTTGTATAGTTTCCAAAATTCTTGTTACGGATTTCTAGTCTTATTCCATTGTGGTCAGAGAAGATACTTGATATTATTTCACCTTTTTTTTAAGGGTTTATGACTTGTTTTGTGACCGAACATATGCTCTATTCTTGAGAATGATCCATGTGATGAGGAGAAAAATGTGTATTCTGCAGCCATTGGATGATAGGTATTCCGTAAATACCTATTAGGTTCATTTGTTCTATAGTGCAGATTAAGTCCAATGTTTCTTTGTTGAGTTTCTCTCTGGGTAACTTGTCCAACACTAAAAGTTGAGAGTTGAAGTCTCCAGCTATTATTGTACCAGCATCTAACTCTCTCTTTGGCTCTAATAATATTTGCTTTACATATCAGGGTGCTCCTGTGTTGACTGCATATTTAGAATTGTTATATCTCCCTGCTGAACTGATCCCTTTGTCATTGTTTACTGACCTTCTCTGTCTCTTGATACAACATGCATCTTGAAATCTATTTTGTCTGATATAAGGATAGCTATTTATTCTCTTTTTGGGTTTACATTGGCATGGTATGTCTTTTTCCATCCTTTATTTTCAGGTGTGTGTTTAGGTGAAGGGTGTTTCCTGAAGGCAACAGATCATTGGTGCTTGGTTTGTTGTAGTTGTTGTTGTTGTTGTGAGACAGAGTCTTGCTCTGTTGCCCAGGCTGGGGTGCAGTGGCATGATCTTGGCTCACTGCAACC